CGCCGAGCCATACCGCGATCATACATTGCAATCACACCACTGCAGTAGCCAAGAGCCTCCCTTCGTCGACCCCTCATAGAGCACATTCTGGCTTCAGCGCAATCTCTTCGTTCTCACCATTTCATTGCTCTCGTGGTTAGTTCCTTAATCTGATACTTGCTGGTGATGGACCAGGAGTCCTTCCGCAAACTACTCCAAACGCCAAAAGCAGCTTCCCCAACGTCGCCGACTGCATCGTCTGCCCATGTGCGCGGCTCCCTCCTCGCAGCAGCGGCAACAGCGTCCAAAGACAAGAAGCCGAAGAAAATTGATGCGTCTCAACCCGCATTCAAGCCGCGGCAAGTGAAGAAGGGTGCGAAGGGCGAGGCGTACCGTGACCGCGCAGCAGAACGGAGGCTAGGCATTGGGAACGATTATGCGCAGGTGAATACACTCGACTATCCATATCTCAGCTATCGCATCCATCTTGGAAGCTAAAAGTCACTCACATGGCGCTGGGATGCTCATATGTAGGTGGAAGCGCTAGCTGAGGAGTTCGAACGACGCCATGCGGCCGAGGAGGACCGCAAAACGGTACGCCTTTCTCGCTTCTCTTCTTCATTCACACTCTTATGGCAATTTCTGTTCTGCAGGTAGAGGAACAAAGAAAGTATCTAGGCGGAGACAGCGAGCATACTGTACTTGTCAAAGGCCTCGACTTCGCGCTCCTCGAACAAGCCCGCGCACGCGCCGCAGCAGAAGCCGAGGCGACGGAGGACGTGTCGTTGGAACAAGCTTACCTCGAATCTACAGCGCAGCCAAAGAAGCGCACTCGCGAAGAGATTCTGCGCGAGCTCAAGAGCAAGCGTGGCGGGGCAGGGGGTCAGAGTGCTGAGGTCCCTGCCGCGCTCAGTGCGGCGGATAAGGCGCTTGAAGAGGCGAAGAAGGCGGGCAAGTTCAAGCCGATTGGCTTCAAGCCTATCGGAGCCTCAGCGGAGAAGGGAGAGAAGGTGAAGCGGAAGAAGAAGGCGAAAGCAGGCGAGCCGGAAGAGAATGGCGAGCGCAAGAAGAAGCGCAAAGTCGCGCCATCTGCCGCGGCCGCTAAGAGCTACGCTGGTGCAAATACCTCGGCCCAGCCAGCTCGGGAAGCATCTACTCCTGGTTCGTCGAGAGATGTCGCGTTGAATCAACCCGAAGCGGGGCCATCGAGGTCGACAGCGGAGCCACCACCAGCTGCCGTGCCACACCCCGAGCCCCCAGATGAAGACTTCGACATCTTTGCTGACGCAGGAGAGTACACCGGCGTGGACATCGGAGACATTTCCGATGAGAGCGACGAGGACCGCTCGGAATCGCCGGGCACGAAGCACGAAGGAAGAGAGGAAGCTGATATACTAGGCCAAGACGCACCTCCACCGCGCAAGTGGCTTGCAACCTCGGACGATGAGCACGAGTCGAGTCGCGGCATCTCGCAGCCTCCACCACCGGCGCGCTCCGTGAGCGGGAAGTCGCAGTCACGTTCTGTCTCTCCGCAAAGGCGGGCGGCGTCAGTGCATAAATCTCCAGTGCCGGCAGAGGATGGCGAGGCGGAGGATGATGAGGAGAGGCCGATGCGGCTGCAGCCGCTGGCGTCGTCTGCGGTGCCATCGATCAAGGACCTACTTGCGATGAGCGAGGAGGCAGAGAAGGCGGAGAAGAGGCGCGCGAGGAAGGAGAAGAAAAAGGCTGGGCTAGGCGGAGGTGGAGGAGCGGGAGCCGAGAAGGATACAAAGGCGAAAGTCGAACGAGACTATCAGCGGTAAGTCAGATGCCGGGTACTGTAGTTGACCATGCTGATCTCTCGTCTATGCTTAGTTTGAAGGCTTACACGGAGAAGAAGAGCAAAGCATGACGATTTGGTCGTTGAATAGGCTACGACCATTTGTACGATATTGCTCTAGACCTCAGGTAGATCTTTGAACGCTTCCCATCGTTGCTGGGGGGTGGTGAAGGGTTACCGTGCCCACCAGCTCCCCTCATTCAGGAAGTGCGGGACGTTGCGGTTGTCCGACCCTAAAGGAGCCCGAGCGGCTAGTCATCTACATGCACTACTTCCCGCGCAATTCTGAGTGCATCAGCCATAGATATATAAACGGTTAAGGAATGAATTGGACACTGTCGATCCTATCTTCTCTGTAGGGCGTCTGAACATAATCCCGTCCACTTTTCTTACATTGGTCAGTGGTAAGCTTGCTCGACGCCCTTCAGCTCACATTGACTTTCGAAATGCTATCCTTGCAGAGAAGTCATTCTTTAGAGTTCTAATGTGGTACTGTAAGGATTGAACATCCACCCGTTGCTTGAGCAAAAGGCATGACTCTATGTTATGTAAAGGTTCCAAGCGCCCTAATCACTGTCCCCTTCGGGGTGACATACGAAAAAATTGGAACGATACAGAGAAGATTAGCATGGCCCCTGCACAAGGATGACACGCTTTCCCGGAGTGGTAGACCTACGGGTCTTAAAATTTATTTGCCGTTCTTTTTCATTTGCGCTTACACTGAAGGTGTCATGGCCAGCCGCGCCGTGAATGTCGTCCCTCACTCATACGATGCAGCGAGGCTATAGACCTTCACCCCAATCTCCAAGCAAATATACGTTGCCCATTCCCTTGATCTCGGTAGATATGCATTTGGACTGCTATCGCACCCAGTCTGGAGATGCGTTGAAGGGGATCTTCCCCATAGAAGTAACTGGCTTCAAGTCGGCTCAAGTTGGCACGTATGAATATACCGACACAGTTCCATCAACATGCCCCAACGCGATTCGCCCTTCCTCCTCGTCCACTGCCACCCGGTTCCACTTCTCATCTGACTCCTGGATATGGAAGACTGACACTATACTCCCGGCGGCAGGAGGATCGGCGACCCGCCCCAGCTCCGTGCTGTCCGGCAGCAGGCAAGAAGACGACCGCGAAGCAGTGTTCACCGGTCCCGGGCTGACATTATCGTCCTGTGGTCCCTCGCCGGGTCGAACGCGTTCCTGCGGCAGGGGCGTGCGCGTGAGTACATTGCCCGCGACGCGCTGCCCATGATCGCCGGCCTGCGAGGGCGTAGTGACGTCGGTCGACGCGTCGATCCAGAGCGCGGTTCCATAGGACCCGAGGACGACGTCCGAGGGCGTGAAGATTCGCAAAGGCGAGGGGATAGACTGGACCATGAACGGACCGTCCGTCTCTGACAGGAGGTATGGCAGGGTCGCAGGATCGGCGAGGTTGAGGGCGTCGGCGCAGTAAGCAGGGTTGGGCGCCAGCACAAAGTGGTGTAGTATATTCACGGGCCAGGGGTACCAGGTATCGAAGCGGATGAGGATATCTATGAGAGGTGGTGTGGAAGATTTGGCGCCACGGCTACCCGCGCGAGAGAGCCGCGTCAGACGTTGCGGTGAACGACGAGATTTAGCAATCAGGGTGTCGATCCGCCAGCGCCATTTGTACGTCGCCACTGAATCCAATCCCGGAACGTTCGAAGGCGCTCCAGTGTCGTCGAAGGCGTCATGCCTCGCCGAAGGGATATGGTAGAGGAGTATGTATTGCTTGCAGAAGCTCAGAACAAAGCCATCTAGAACGACAGCATCTAGGCACTGCCGTTCCTGCATATAATCGTTAGGATGCGATATGGAAGGCTCATAGGAGTCGAGACATACTGCAAAACGCAAAGTGGGATCGTTCAGCATGACAGGTGCCTTGAGAACGTACTCCAGGACGCCTGTGTCAACATTGACGAGGCGGACGTCTTGCTCGGCGTCAGTGGCCACGAGGCGGGACCCATGGAGACCGATGGTGTTGCGGTACCCATCAAAATGCCTCAGGAAACGGAAGCACGAGCGGCCCTCGACCGGAGGGAGGTCAATAGCATAGACGTCGGTGATACACCTGTGAGTGTCAAATTGAGCATATCTGAGATGAGAGAGGTGAGACCACATACTGTAGAGTCAAGCCCTGGTTGTTTGGGGCTCTGCGGGTGATAGTCACAGTGCTGGAGCAATCGGCGACTGTGTTCACAGCATAGCCAATTATGCCTTCCACAGGCAGGGCATCTACGAAGCCCGCTTCTGAATTGTTTGCGACGCGCCACAGTTCGAAGGAATAGCGCTCATCACGAGAGGTGTCATCGTATAACGTCAAAGTAAGAGTATGGGCGGGAAGGAAGACGATCGCAAGGTTGCGAGCGCCACGAATCCGTTGTACAGACCTCGATGGTCTTATGTGTACGCTGCGGTAGTACTGCGGTCGCGGAGACAGCCAGTTCGAATAGTAGCGAAGAGCACGCAGGGTCAGTCTTTCCAGATCGGCCGATGAGAGGGCAAACAGATCATGTTCTCTTATGCCAGGGATTGGAAGCGAGCTTTGTTGGCTGTACCTTGCTAAGGCGCTGAACCACACTGTCCGCACTCGGGTCGCCGTTTCCAGCGCCCTGCATGTCTGGAAGGGCGATGTTGCGTCAGCAAAATAGTCCATGCGTGTTTGAAGGACTGGAGCGCTTGCCTGACGAAGTGCCAGGATATCGTTAGGTCGAAGGTACTCAATGATGTCAAGAAGGATGTCTTGAGGAAGATCACGCAGATGCATGATAGCACGTCTACGGGTCATATGCCAAGTGGAACAATGTCCCAGTCTTCCAGTGAGTAATTAATATGGCTAGAGAACCCTTAAGCATAGGAGGGGGGGGGGAAGTTATAACCTGCTCGCACGCGTATGCAGTGAACCGCGAACCTACTTGGAGGTAGTAGTAATCAATTAGCGAGATCAACGCGTCACGGTTTGGGTTGTCAGGGACCTACGTAGCGATAAGCAAAGCTTGAAAGGTCAGATAGGCTAACAATATGAGTCATATGAAGCTCGCACAGAATTTGCTGTACTGGAGGACCTGTCGGTGGTCTGAGAATCGACGTACAAGTCCGCCTCGTCCGTCGATGTCTAGGTGACGTTCTCGCCCTAACCCCCTAACTATGTATAGTTCAGTGTGTTTACCACAGCTCAGGGCGATATGGCCGAGCGGTCTAAGGCGCCAGAATCGGGAAGCTGTCCCACCTCTTCCTCACGGGTGTGGGTTCGAATCCCACTGTCGTCAGCGTTTTTCCCCCTTCCGTGGTCCCCAAGCCTCAGGGCAGGCTGTTTCGCGTCGCGAATCATCGACGTCGGGAGACGCCACCGTGACAGGCGGACGCGTCTATGAACCTCTCTCTTCTCTTGCTACGCTACGTCTCGATTGCTGCATTATTGTCATACGTACATGATGGCCTCTACATCTGGTGCTCTCAAGATCGCCTCAAGCGAAGGCCCTTTGCCAACCGCAACTCCTCACCTCATGCCGTTCCACATCGCCTACTCCGGTGCTGCTCCCATTTCTACCTACTTCCGTGTGCGTCCGGCTCCTGAGCCCACGTATGGACGTGAAGCGAGGACTCCAACGACAGAGGATGTGTTCTCCGATTCTCAGGCATCCTCAGATTCGCAAGCCACTATCATCGCAGACTCTCAGGCCCCTACGTCCGCCTCTTCAGCGATGCTTACGAGTTCATTGTCGACTCTAGTGAATGTGGATTCGCAGACTGAAACGCCTTGCGTCTCTTCCTCGGACTCCAAGTGCCGACATTTCACAGCCGCGTTCCGGGGTCGCTCACTCCATGGACTCAAAGTCGATCTGCCCGAGGGGTACGCTGGGATTGTCCTCCGAGCACCTGTTGACCATAAGGGGAAAGCCGTCGCCCCATCGTCTCGCACGGTAGAGGAGCAGGAATGGAACACGCGCTCAGCATCCAAAGCATCAGGAAGGACTACCCGACGGAAGAAACGTGCAGAGGAGGACGCGGGCGAGGATTTCCGAGACGCGAACGCGACAGACTTGGAGGCGCTGAATGGAGGACCGGTGCGCGTGTTGAGGCCCGAGGCACGGTTCTCCTCCTTCGTATTGTGGCATCCCGACATCCCCGTGGACGAAGGAAGGGATGAATACCTCCGTTCGCTCACGGAGTGGACCAGGCTTGCAGCGGAGGTGAGATAGTCTGCTTGGTGTTGTGTGCCAGAGCATCGTCACTTGACTGAGAGTCGTTTACCTCAGATTCACCGAATCGAGGATTGCTAGGATTACTCCCTATGTCTTCTGATGTCCCTAATCGGAACATATGATCTCACATATGAGGCTCCCTATGCGAATGCATACAGTATATCAGTTCGCCAGCGACACTCTCGTCTAACCTTGACCGGTAACTCTTGACTCTCGGCCGGAGCCAATCGACGATTGCTTGACACAGGATATCATACAATGTATGGCTGGGACATGTACCGTGACTTGCATCCTGTGCGCAAGAGCCGGTGATTGCTTTGTGAAACCGCCGAAATGCAGAGCTGTCCCTTACTATCACTGCACCAGTGTTGCAAAAGCGACAGTGTTGCAAAATCCAACTTCTTATTCAAATAACTCACTCCCTGTCCCACATTCCCTCCTGAAAATTGGTGCACATATACTTCTGACTTATCTGCACATGCTCACGAAATCTCAGGTCCGTCCGTTTCCCAGTGATGCTGATCGGGCTTCTGCAAAGTGGACTCGGAGGGTGGGGAAGGCTTGATTGACCTCGCTTCAGGGGGCTATCTGCCCCAGAAGGCTCATGCTCTAGACTAAGTCGAGTTCATGTCTACTGAATACATCTGTAGCATTCCGAGATTTTTCCTATGACAATTGCATGATTGAGGCACAACAGAAGTGGAGGAGCGGGTAAAGCGTGACAAAAGTCCGTCTCCTCGACTGTTCGGAGTTTTATTCGCATCACTTCCGAATGCAAACGCGTGCAAGAGATAGGCCTCGGCAAGTCGGAGCAACAATTCGGCTTAGAAGCGCCTGTGACACTGCGTGACTTTCAAGCCATATCGTTTTGCAACTCTGTTGCGGCCACTGTCTGCTCAACAGAAAGGGCAGATGAAGGGCATCTGCTCTAAGAATTGGGAATAACATATAAAAGATAACACATGATTGTGTCCCTGTATATCGGGAACCTACGTTGGACATAGGCTGAGATTTTTGAATAAGAGTACGGATTTTGCAACACTGGTGCAGTGATAGTAGTCCGGAGGCGGTACAACGTCGCGGGCGTTACCGCGAGTTCAAGCTCAAGGCCCGTCCATGGCGTGACACGGTAATAAGTCTTGCCATCAGGCATCTGATGGCTTGTCACCAAATCGTGGGCATGCAGGTGTGCTGCAGATCGACGGTGGGCGTGAGAGCAAGCCATCAGCAGTCGTGTCAACAACGTCTCCGATCAAATCTCTGCCCGACCAGCGCGAGGCGGTACTGTTCAGGACACGGCGATCGGATGGCCGCCCGCGTCGTACCCGACTAACAGTAGTGACACACAGGTCTGCGGTTTGTTGTCTGTCCGAGCCCCCACCCTCGTCAACTCTTAAAAGGTTGCATAGACGTCTGCAGCGCGGACTGTCACGCTTTCGCCTTCCTCATCTGCTTGTTGTCGTCCTACTTGCTGTGCACTTCGCTCTGAGAGCCTTCACAGCCAGGAACGCCTTAGTCCGATCTAGAACTTCTAAGCCTTAATGTATGGCCTTTACGCACTTCTGAGCACCATGCTCGCAGGGCACGGTCTCGTGCGCGCCGTCTCAACAACCGCCGCCGCCGCGGCGACCGCCAGCGGGGGTGTCACACCGACTGCCCCCGGTCCCGGCGACGTCTTCAGAGAGGGCGGAAAGTGCACCTTCTCGTGGGTGCCTGACCCGTCAGGCGTCTGGAAACAGACAGACGTCGAGCTCATGACTGGCGACAACTTCAACATGGTGTTCATCACGAGTGAGTGGGAAGCCGCGCCTGCACGTCTTCAGGGTGAAGCCAGGCGCTGACGACGCCCACTAGCGGTCGCATCCTTTGATGGCACCGACCCTTCTTTGACGACCTTCAACTATACTTGCCCAGATGTGGGTATCGCATTCTAGTCCTACAGCGCTGTTTCCCCGGTACTGATCGCCCCGACGCGAAACGCAGGTTGAACCAAACTCGCCGATCTATTTCTACCAGTTCTCCTCGCCCGCAGCGCCCGGCGTGTTGTTCTGGACGACGCGCTTCGCGATAGCGGACGGGCAGGGGAATGTCACTCCACCCACAAACTCCACGCAGCCAAATGGACAACAGATACCCTGGGGAACGGGAAGGCTCACAGATCCTTCGCAGGCGAAACCCGAGCCAAGTTATCTGCTGTCCGGCGGCGCGTCGGCCACAGAATCGGCTTCGGCATCACCGAGCGCGAGCGCTACGAGTGCCGCGTCGTCGAGCGCGACGGAGTCGGCCACCGTGGTCAGCACCACGAGCGGTGCCAGCACTGCGTCCACATCCGCTACGAGTTCCGCGACGAACGACCCCTCAACACCTTCCTCGAGCGTTGGACCCTCGCGAATCGTTACGATCACGAGTACTGCAAGCGCGGGATCTGCTGCGCCCACAGACGACTCTGCGGCTGGCAGCGGGAACGGGAACGGCAACAGCGGGAACGGCGCAGGCAACGGGAACGGGGCCTTCGTGGTGGCGGCGAGCTGGGTGCAGGCAACATGGGCGCTGGGCTTGACAGCCGCGGTCTTTGCCATCGCGTCATGAGCGGTTTGCTGAGAACGGAGCAAACAGGAAGATGGGTGCCGCGATTTTTGGCATTGGACGTTCGTGGAATACGGGTTACGCTGGTAGGCCTACAATGGGACTCTTGAGTGGCTCCGATGAGGGCAAAGAGAGCAGTTTCGGATGAAAATCGTGATAGCGAAGGTGCTGATAACGATGCGTGCGACGGTGCGTGATGCCGTGTGGACGAGATCCAGAAGATGTTCACAACCGCCGATAGCGGGAACGTCTGGGCGCAGACAGTAAGCCCGCTTGTGTCTATGCTTTCCACATCAAGGAGCTGGTGCCGATTCAATCATTCTGTAATAACCAGGGTTGGCACCATCGAAAGGGTGCCTTCATCAGTCTCAGAGCCCGGTAAGTAACTACACGGCGCGCATCCGGCCGCGCCTTACGAGGGTCTTGAAGAGAAGCACCTCCTCGACTCCTTGCCCTCCCACGATAAGTGCCTCCCAGCTGGTCCTCACCTGCATATATCCCTCAATTTTTGTGCCATATTCGCCGGACCCAGCCGAGGTCCACACCGCAGGGTGCTTAACGAACCAGACCTGTCGGTCGAGCAGCTGTTCCTGGGGAGAGCGGCGCATATCTGGACCTCAGAGTCATAGTCCGCGAAGGATGCTGGTCGAGCCATCTGGATCATGATCATGAGCTCAGTGATAGAGTGTATTCCGTCGTAACCCCTTCATCCTCCTTGAGTACTGCCAGGCCGGTCGCCGGTTGTCCGAAGACCACCCTCTGGAGTCCTTATCCCAAGAAGAGCGGAGTTAATTGAGTCGCTCGACAATCCCGAGACACGAAGGTGGGTTGACAGCAATGCAATTTCAGTGATGCGTTAGACTCTCCAGTCTGTTTTGAGAGCATCTGGTATGGCATGGAAACGGCCAAGCGTTCGGCAATAAAAATAGTCCGGGGTTGAAGGAGCATGCCAGCAAGGAAGAATGCACGGTCAGCTCCGTGAGACGTGGCAGGAATCGAAGAGGAGGATGGTCAGAGTATGCAGGTGCGACGCGACAAGCTGGAGAATGCGCGCGTTAGGGCTCCGTGAACAATAGGCCCATTTATAACTAACAATATTACACACGTATTATTAACAAGTTGATATCTGTGCGAAACCCAAGGGGGTCCAAGAGGCCTGTTAGCAATTGTTAAGAATGCTGGGTAAGACTGGGGATTGTATGTACGGTAGATGCCTGTTCTGGAGACATGACCAGCCTCTTGGGCAACGGTACGAGCCGGTAGCTGGAACGCATGTGCAGTGAGACATATTGTGTATCATAGACAGTCCTGATTACCCATATACAATACTGTACCCGACCCAGAAGTTGGATGAGCGCCGTGTGGACCTAGAAGTGGGATGAACGGCCGTCCTCACTCGCAGACCCCTTTGAAGTCCCAGAATCCTTTATGATAGGCTTGAGTAGGGTCTGCTGAAGCCGTCTGCAAAAGAAGAGAGT